TGATGATGATGATGATGAGTGCAAGGTCATGCTTCAGAACGTAGTCTCTAAACATACCTCTTACAATTCAAGAAGAATTACTTGAGGTTGCGGAGGGTTTGACATACTTCGGTAGTTGAATTAGCTGGAACGAAGGTGTATCCGATGAAGTCAGTGCAAGAATCTCAAAGGCCCAAATCACGTTCGCGTCACTTGTGGCGTCAAGAAGACATCACTGGGTCTAATAGGTGGCGTGTATTAGGCGACACTAAGAATTGTATTGTTGTATGATTGCGAAACATGGCCTCTGCGGACAGATGGGGTGAGGCATCTTCAAGTTTTTGACCACCGTTGCCTCAGAAGCGTTTCTGGTGTCCGGTGGCGTCAAGGGATTCGTAACGGGGTAATTGAAAACGGGTATTTTGTTGTATAGTGGGTACCTCAATCGCGGGGCTTCGTTAGTTCGAGGGCGTAGGGACTAAGACATAAATGTCTCATCCCTAATACATTACAGATGCGTCTGGAGATGCATCGGGTTGTTGATAGGTTCTACACGCGTTTAGACTATTTTGGATAATTCGCAGACCGTCACGTGCGATTTTTATGGCTGAGCTTTCTTATTCTTCTTTCTTCGAGGAAGACAAAATAGCTGTTTCCGTAAATATGGAGACACTAGTCGTCTGGAGGGAATAGCTGTGCTGTGTCCCATCAGTCCTTGGACTAAATGCTACAATGGTTTGGGTGGTTCTAACGTGTGATTGGTGAATCTTGGGGCATGCATGGTGCTTGAGAACCCTGGTTTGACTTCCTTTTCCGCCTCTAATAAACTCGATTTTTTTATAGAAAACATTTGCAGAATGCAAATCAGTCATATTTCTCAGCGCGCTGTGGTGACTTGTTCCCTAACTCTCATCCGGAAAGCTGGAATCCTAAAACCCACATATGTAGCCGATATGTATGACTCAATGAGAGTCAAAGTAGCTGAGTGGTTGCCCCACGAACTTACTGACCGGATGATTCGTGGTTCAAAACCCACCCATGCACCTCGACTACTTTTGGGGAAATCTGAGAGAATCTCGGCCCTCGTGGTCCTTTCGGGTTACGCGGCAGCTAGGCACCGAAAGATTACAGCTGAACGTGGCTCAATGGACTGCAGACCCGTCTGCTTATCATCGCCATGTGTCATTGCGTTGGTGGGTTTATCGTAATGGCCTTCAGATGTATGTGGACGAACTCGGCATCATATGCACTACGCAGCACGGACGTAAAAAGAAATCCTCTTGCATCTTAGCTTTGTTGTGGCTGTAAATAAATGACCAGACTCAGTCGATGCTGGCAATCACCTTGACGTCATTAATTTTTATTTCTCTTAGGCTATCAACAAGGTTTCCTGTGGACAGCTTTCTCACAATCTCCCGAAAGTTGGTGTCACGCGAACAATGTATTCTCCAGCGGCGAATTCCTGAAGAACAACGCAATGCAAATCAGAACGACTAAGACATACTCTTTTTCCCCCACTAGCCAATGATGTGCGCCAGGGCTCTAATCTCGTTGTTTACCTTCCTGAGGCTAACTTAGTGCACGCTAACGGAGTCAAACCTCCAGGAGTCTCTGTCATAGACGATGCTAGCACTTTGTTAGCTGCTTGAGATTTGCCTTATGATAATATCTATTCACCAACATGCCTAAATGTCCGGTACTCCCTGCTCGATTTTTTTATACACATAGTACTAGAAGCGAGTTGATAAGCATTAATGTTTTTGCAATCTCTTCATGTGGCCAATACAAATTAAGGAATCATTAAACCAAGAGTAAGCACAAAAGCAGCATGAACATAAGGCGGAGTATGTGAGTAACAGCGTGAAGACCTCTTACGTTACGATCCACTGGTATGAGTAGCCATTTGCCAGGTGAGTGAACCGTGGAAGTGTCAATGCGCGTCTAAACTTCTTGCGGGTCTATAGACTAGGATTACATAGGCGAATCACAGTCGCTGTAGCTGTAACCAGGGTTGAATATTGAATGAATCTTGGTGGACAAGCCGGTGAGTATTCCAAAAACAGTATTAGAATTGATCAAACGGTTGATGGTCGGTCAAGTGAGCGATCACTGCACTAGTAATTGAGCTCTATCCGGTTGTCAGTCGAAACAGATTATTTTCTTTTATTTGCCTGCATAACTGCCTTATCTTGTGTTCTATGTATTCTGATGCACAACATCAGGTGATTGAGTAGAATCTGATGATTTTAGCGGGGACTGACTGTTTGTCTTCGGGTCACAAGGGTCACTAGCTGAGTAGTTGTAGAACACGCTTTGTGTGAACCGACTGGGAAGGTTTACCGAAGTGCGTAAGGTAGACCGAGTCAACCTGTCTACGGCCAGATCCATTTTGAAAGGAGGATTGACATAAACGGGTTTCCTCCCAGCAATGGCCGGTTTGGTTTTCTTACTTATAGCGGCGATATGCTCTGAAGTGAATATGTCCGGATGATTGTTTTCAAAAGTGTGCTTTATGGTGACTGTAGTTCGTTTATGGGACAAATTTTTCTACTGTTCTCGGAAAGACACCGCACTAGATTCTGTTTGTGTTTTAGCAGGACAATCAACGATTTCAGTACGATCGTCTGTATTCCGTTGTCGTCATAGCGATCTACTCCTAACCAGCTGTCCGAATCGGTATGCTTGCGTGTCGGTTCTGATGTTGCACTATGCACTGGACTATACGGTCAATAACTGTTCCCAGATAAGTTTCAAACATTCACCATATAGACCGGATCATCGTCCATCTTACTGTTCACCATCTGTGTACTGATGAGGTAGGTAAACAATTTGGTGTGGGGTTTCCATCCTGAATCTAACGAGTTCACGCAATAACGAAACTGCGTGTGCTGTCGTTCATTCCCTCCAAATGGAAGTAAATTACACTAACCTCTTTCCCGATATCTCAACGGCTTGAGACACCCAGCATTATCTACAAAGTGTATTGGTGTTTTTCGATGGTTCCAGATACCGATTCAGACGAAAAAGTGCTTTTACCTAGATTTTTGAGTTGAGTAGGTTATTTTGGCACAGGTGTGGGTGAAATTCCCACCAGAGTGCCCCTTTCTAGTCGCCATCGCAAGTTAGATAGCAATAATAGTTAATCCTTTTTTCTGAAATCGCTGAACTAAACGTGTATGCGAATTTGGGTTGACAGTAAACGGAGTGAATGCAGAATTCGCATAATGTGTTGTCTTCGTTTGATTTGCAAGTGTACTGATGAGGTACCGCCTACCCAGCGAAAGACGAGTATAGGTTTGTTTAATTTTATGCTACTCTCAAGTAGCTTAAGATTTTGTCAACATTACCAAGTCTCCTTGGCGCGGCTTGTGATTCGGGTATCACATCGGTTCTGAGTTGCTGCGTGAAGACCTACTCAAAGACAGTCGCTCTTTTTCCTGCATATTACTTCCCAGATTATCGGGGGCTGGAAGCTATGTCCTTGAAGGGTATGTAAACCCTTATGGAGCGCGTGCATCAATTTCAGTGCCTGGGTTTTTGTCCCGGCATCGATACCGATTTGGAGGTCTCCGATCAGTGTCAGTCAAGTCAGCTAATGAGTACTGGAGAAGCCGCTTCTGATATGTATTTTTACTTAGATATCCACGAGGTTTTCAGCAACCTACGAAGGTGTGTGTACCTTGTGCGAACCTGAGAAGGGCAATGGATCATTCAGCTGTAACACCCTTTCTTTCCCTAGCTGCCATGCCACCCGAAGGGCAATGGAAAGTAAAAGTACTGAAGCGCATAATAAGTCACCACGGTACTCCAGAAATAGTTTTATCCTCACCATCGGTCACATATTGCAATGAGTTTGTGGAAGTAGGTCATCATCGAGGTTGTGTGATAAGGGGACATTGGTACAATGGAAAGTAAAAGTACTGAAGCGCATAATAAGTCACCACGGTACTCCAGAAATAGTTTTATCCTCACCATCGGTCACATATTGCAATGAGTTTGTGGAAGTAGGTCATCATCGAGGTTGTGTGATAAGGGGACATTGGTACATTGAGAAGACAGTCCTTAGTCAGCTTGCTTGTGTACCAGGCGTTCTTTGTTGTCCGCGCACCTCGCGTATGGTCCAGTTGGCTTTGATCTCAGCAGCGGCAACCCCATATACTTGCACGTGGATGACACTCATCGGAGACGAGAGACGATGCACGGAAGTCTCTGATGCACGTCGTCTGTGATTTCGGGGTTTACTGAACTGTTGTCTATTCCCGCTTGTAGAGTTTCGGGACTCGAACGCTAGCAGGACATTGGAGAAGGCCGTAACATGCCTTGGATAACCACATTCACATAAGGCCATGTACCCTGTGGACTTGTGTAAATTAGACTCACCTCTCATCAGTGTACTTACTCTGGACTATGAAAAAAGCATCTGCGGGTCGTTTATGATAAGATTTTCCCTCCTTTCGATCAAACCTTGCTCAAATCTGCTACTGTATACCAGATAACTGTACCTGAAGCCATGTGACTACCGGTCTGTCGCGCATTTATCCTATCCAACCCGACCGATGTGTTAACAAATATTTTTCGGTTTTCACTGCCATGTCAGAAGGGTACTGTGTTTGTCAGCATCTTCAACGAAGTGACAGACGTCTTCAGCTATCCTTTTTTCGAATAGCTACCGTTCGTGCTCATTTTGTCAGCAAAATTAAGTCAGCTTTGCATTCTTCCCCGTAGTGTTACATTTAGGCTCTCGCAAACGGCTTGCTACCCCTCAACTGTACGCAGTCGCTCATTGGTTAATCTGGAAGTACCTTTCACTCCAGACAAGTATACTTTTACGGTCAAATCTACCGAAAAGTCAACTCCAGTAAAAATCCTCCCCTGCTCTGGAGCATGTGTTCGTGAGAATTCTTGGAACACCGAAAACTATTTTCGTCTGTCTTCCGGTTACATGACAGGCTTCATCACTATGAAGTTGCAGTCAATGGTCTAATCATTCGGATGTAAATAAGAAACGTGACCCAGGAACTATGTTGGTGAAATATTTTACCTAACTCCCAAGAGATTCTGTTCATTGTGCGCATGTTAATTGCCCCTTCAAGGCGACTGAGTACTATTTCGTATAGTGACCTCGTATGAAAGTATTACGGAACCAGAGCATCCTACATTATACGAGCCGGACGAATGCTGCCCTGATAGTTCAGAAATATACTCTTTCTATGCTCGGAGGTGTTCACTGACTAATACAGCCAGTGGCGCTGTTGTATTCACTTCATTTTTCTTACCTGATGGCCCTACTTTTTGTTTCCGCTCTCGGTTTCTTCATCTCGCACTGTCTAGTTCTACTGTGGATAACGGCAGCTTAAATCCACCTAACTCTTAACGACGAGTGAACCGTTGGAAAGCATGTCTTGGATCCCTATTCAACTTCTCCCCCGTTTCCCGCCGGAAATAGTTTGACTTCACGGACAGACGCCTCGCCGTGTGATCGTTTTGTCTGACTTTTTAACCTTTTCCTTTCCCTTTTTTCCTTGCTTCCTGTTTCCACAGTATGCAGGCTGATATACTACTGGTGTGTTATCAATACTAGTGAAGGCTGTTTTGCTAATACTTTCTGGCTCAATTTGAATCCCACGCTAATTCTCAATATCCCTACGATTGATGAACTTGTGCTTGATAATTCACAACAACTCGGGTGATGCTACTGTTGAGTTTGCCTCACGGTTACAATACCCTGTGTTTTTCTTCGGGCTTTCTTTAACGCTTAAGGGGGCGTTATTCGCCGTTTTTGGTCATTTGTCTTTGTTATACTTTTAGTGAGACCCGTAAGGACCGTTGTTTGCGATTTTGTTCTGCATGGTTCAGATGGATACTTGAAAACCGGAAGAATGGTTTTCACCCCTGTGGCCTTCCCACAAGCCCGTGTAGCTTTTATTGAACTGTACAAACAGTTTGAGTGGTTGATCGAATGTCCATTCTTCGATCTGATGACGCTATCCGAATCGGATCACATACTGCTCAGGCAACAGCAATTATGGATGAAAAAGACGAAAAAACGCAAGACTTTTCGTTGTTCTCAATCAGGCTTACAGGGCCTGGATTGTTTCAAGTTTCGATGAAACTGCTTTTACATTTTGTATGGACGTTATTCGGACCATGTATTCAGCTTGCGGGCTCGAGGGTTTTATTGCTAGTTGACGACGCATGTAATTTCCTTGCCGATTTTGGCATGTTATTATTTCAGCTCCATTTCGACGAGAATTACTCTTTCCAGTTGTGAGAATAACGTATCTTTGTGATCCTCGTACAGTAGGGTGAACTTAGAAGGGGGCGTGTGCCTCTGGAAAACACATTGTATTTTGCCGGATATGAACACCGCATGATACTTTCTACTGCATGGCGCACCGTTTCCTACTTCCAACACCAGATCCTCACCCTAACTTTTCTCTATTTTGTTTACTAGCACGCCTATCCCTGTTGTCTGCTATAATCTCTCAAATTCGTCTTGCGCTTTTGTTTGTGTCGTTCCGATCATGGCTGGAAACGCATTAAAACGGCTTATGGCCGAATATAAACGTAAGTGAAATGGCCAAAGTACATTCATTTGCATGTCAAGTTGACGTTACCAGAAGGCTCACCTGAATCCCTCGTTTATGATCATTGGAATACCCTGGGGGGATTTTGCCTCTCACCAACAATGGGATTATTACGAATATTCTGGCGCTCAGATTCGACTTTGTTTCGCTTCGCTGATGGAAACACACCATCCTAAGTCGTTTACCCACCACCGCGCGATAATGGATTATTCACGTTGAATCGCCTCTCTCAAGTCATGTGCACACTAGTGCGGGTTTCGATAATCCTAGGGGGTACACGCTACAACTATGTGATGCTCAAGTGGCTCAAGTAGGCGAGATGGCCCAAGTGGTTAGAGCGCGAATTCACCGACCGGAAGGTCCGTGGTTCGAACCCGACCTATGCCTCTCGACTTCATGTCTAGGCTTGGGCAACCTGACAGTATCCCAGCCCTCGTGCTTCCTTCGGGTGGCATGGCAGCTAGGCGCCGAAAGGGCGCTACAGCTGAGCGATTATTATTATTATTATTATTTTATGTAGTGCCTCTTTGGACGCCATGTGATGTTGGGTTAGTTTGCCTCGTGCAATAAATTCTTCCGCTAACCAGTTAGACTTACTTTAACCTGCTTCGTTTCATTCTTTTTAACATAGTTTCAGTGAAGTTCATGCACGTGGTGTCAGCCACATCTTCGCGAAACACATTCTTAATAGGCCCAACGGGATCTCTTGTTCGTGATATTCTTCAACCCAATGTTCTGCACCAGGCCGCCTGATGTTTTACTTGGTATGGTACGCCAGTATCGCACTACAATATACAGGTGTACCACACTACTCATAAGTTTTCGACAACCATACGGGTGCTGTGATATCGGTTGATCCCCTCTGGTCAGAAAACGCGTCCCCATTCATTTGAGTAGATTTTATTTGGAGCCCATTTCATTTCATTCGCTATGTTATCTTACAACCCAGGGTTCTAGTGATCTCATAAATCGCAGCACCAGAACCAGTTGTTTGTCACTTCTTTCTGCTTGGAACACCTTCAGTCTCCCGACTGTCGTGGATAGTTGCTGGTATCTTCTACAAAAACTTCTCACAGGTGCTCTGTGTACTCTGCCGCTGTTCGACACCAACAGCCTCTCAGAGGCGGGACTGAAATGTTCCAGACACGTGTAGCTATCTGGGTGTGTTTAGTGATGTCAGTATTGGGATGAGTTTGGTCATGAGTGCCATAGATTTTCAGCCACATAGCCCACTATTTTCGCCCGAGAAAGAACGTTACACGCGCAAACAGTTGGCCGCAACACCTGCAGTACATCGCCAGTGGCCCTTGTATCTGAGACAATAACCTTCCCATAAAATGTCTTAATTTATTTGTGAGTGTGTGTAATCTTCTTGATGTGTTTGTCTCTCTCAAGTGACAGAATGAAACTGACGAGACGTATTCTCTTCATGGAGCTTTTTCACCTACATCCTACTTAGGCACCATAGTTGCTTATCCACAACTCCAGTGATCATTGTGAGCACAAGTCACCCTTCTGTCCAAGTTGTTACAAAACTCGCCAAACAACTCAGCGACCGCGTTGTTACGAATGCTTTTTCTTCTGCTTATTTCATAGAAACTCTAAGACTTTTCAATTCGTTGTCGTTACCTTCAATGTGGCACGTCGCATAGGTAAAACTTAGCTTCTGGTTTAAAAATGGTCAAACTGTTTCGCGTCACTATTCCATGAGGTCTACCTTTTGGCTTCACCGATTGGCGGTTGGGGCTAACCGGACAGCTTTAATGCACTTACAGTCATTATAACATTTTCTTCAACCTTCTATGAAGCATTCATTCTGAGGATTTTTGTGTCCTCTCTTTCAGAATTGACGGTTAACCCACCGGAGGGAATCGTCGCTGGTCCGGTTGATGAGAAAAACTTTTTCGAATGGGAGGCTCTGATTGCGTAAGTAGTTCTGTCCGCATCACTTCGATGATTGTTCGACAACTTATATACCGCAAACTGTTTTATCAGAAAAGGACGTTCTGTATCGAGCCACCGTCTGTCGGATCCAAACGTCCCACTACCTCTGGAGGATCGACGATCGTCACCAATGAAATCAAATCGTGTGTTGTGGGTGGGATTAGTCTTTTCTAACTTATTGTAATGAAATCACCATGACCGCTGCATTTTTAAGAGATTCTAATTTTAAAAAGAAAATTACACACAAAAGGGGCCGATCGCTGGTGTACCACAAGCATTCCATGTTGCTTACACCTCCAAACAATCAGTCAGACGATCTGAGTGGGAACTCGTATCAAAAGCATGGTACATCACTGTGAAAGGTTGGCCGCACCGACATTACATAGACTCACATAGGTGCGCTACCAGAACCTAATCTCTGATAGGATCTTTTGTGTGTATGCTATTTTCTTCGATCGAATGAAAGGCGTCAGATTACCGGACTCGAATTCGCTCTTCTCAGTTGATAGGCTTCGGTTCTTTACACCATCAGCTAACGTTTGGCCTGTATACAATTCCATTTCGCAGGTCGGTCTTTAATTCATGCAGGTAGCTCAGCTCAGAGGTTATGGAATCATCCCCACTACTCATACACCAGCATGATCCGTGCTTATTCATATTCCAGTAGATTGTCTTGTAATTTAAATTATTGAGTCGACAGCGGTCATCCTATGCGGTGGAAAGGGCTACCGTAGACATAAAGATCACTCTGTTGGTTTGCCGTATGTATCTACTACTAATTCTGTATACTTTCACTTGGGTTCACCGCTGACTCATTCATTTCGTTTTGTCTGTCCAAAACCATTTCAGCGGTCCAGAAGGCACTCCTTTCGAGGGTGGCGTGTTCGCTGCGCGACTCTCTTTCCCAATGGATTACCCATTGTCTCCACCGAAGATGCAGTTTGTCACAGATTTGTTTCACCCTAACAGTGAGTCTCGGCAGGCTTTGTTTGTTGTAGGAAGTCGATCTGAACAGTTGAGTTGTAGTGATCTTGATTGCTCTCTGTGCGATGTTCACTTGCTGCCCGTCTCCTGTCTCTCGTGAACACGCCACTTACAATCCAGGGAGAGTCAGTCGAAGTTGTGGAGGGTTTTTTTTGTATCTTGGAAGTTGTATCAGTTCTGATTGTAGTGTGACAGATGAGGTGAATGCACGAATATGCAAGCCTTGGGCCGCGTTTGCTAATTTGAGACACCTATGGCGTCAGAATGGTTTATTCCTGAATCTCAATGGACCTGTGTATCAGGCTACAGTACGGGCTGTTTTGTTGTATGGCTGTGAGACTGGGCCTATTCGAGCAGCAGAACTGAGACGTCTCCAGGTATTCGACAATCGTTGTCTCAGAACCATAGCTCGTGTGNCGTTAGTCGGTTTTCAGTTTTTACTTCCTAATGAAGGTAAGTCGTTTCATCAAAAAATGAAGTTAGCTACCCCAATGGCGCGGGGGCAGCTTGATGTCGGTCTTCAATTCATGCAGGTAGCTGAGCTCAGAGATGATGGAATCATCCCCACTACTCATACACCAGCATGATCCGTGCTTATTCATATTCCAGTAGATTGTCTTGTAATTTAAATTATTGAGTCGACAGCGGTCATCCTATGCGGTGGAAAGGGCTACCGTAGACATAAAGATCACTCTGTTGGTTTGCCGTATGTATCTACTACTAATTCTGTATACTTTCACTTGGGTTCACCGCTGACTCATTCATTTCGTTTTGTCTGTCCAAAACCATTTCAGCGGTCCAGAAGGCACTCCTTTCGAGGGTGGCGTGTTCGCTGCGCGACTCTCTTTCCCAATGGATTACCCATTGTCTCCACCGAAGATGCAGTTTGTCACAGATTTGTTTCACCCTAACAGTGAGTCTCGGCAGGCTTTGTTTGTTGTAGGAAGTCGATCTGAACAGTTGAGTTGTAGTGATCTTGATTGGTTTCTGTGCGATGTTCACTTGCTGCCCGTCTCCTGTCTCTCGTGAACACGCCACTTACAATCCAGGGAGAGTCAGTCGAAGTTGTGGAGGGTTTTTTTTGTATCTTGGAAGTTGTATCAGTTCTGATTGTAGTGTGACAGATGAGGTGAATGCACGAATATGCAAGCCTTGGGCCGCGTTTGCTAATTTGAGACACCTATGTCGTCAGAATGGTTTATTCCTGAATCTCAATGGACCTGTGTATCAGGCTACAGTACGGGC